TTTTTTTTAGAGTAGCTTTTTCATGACTTCAATACAAAGTCCATCATAGGCACCAACACTCTATAATGCTTTTTTTAGAGTTCATCTAGCATCGTCGTCTATCAAATTTGCTTCCATTTGTGAGGAGACTAGTGATTCAAGACCCAATGTATGTGTTTGAGACCTATACTTAAAAATTTAAGCCCATAAATGATGATTCCATCAAGAATATATTAAAGCACTTTTAATTTAATTTTTTATCCGATATAAAATTTTCACCCATAAAACACCCCACACTCCCTTGAAGATTTAGTAGGTACTGGGTACTGGTTCAAGTTTTGGGGCCAATGAAGGATTTATTAAAATGTATGGTTTCATGCTTTGTTGGCAGTTCTCTAGAGTAAATCCATATTTTTTTAATAGAGCATGCATTAAACTATTAGTGTTGGATTGTGATGAGTTAGCTTAGTTAATTAATATTTTTTGACACATAATTATGAAAAAAAATTAAATTAATTTTTTAGATTTAATTAGAGATAATGACACTCTAATGTATCGTGTTGAAGTTAATTTTGATAAAATTTACCTGACTAATTTTTGAGATAAATGACAATTTGTTGAATAATATTATTAAATATCACTATTTGAGCCCCCTCTATTAAATTCGGTTCCATCTCTGATCCTATTTGATGCTTTAAAAAAAAAAAGCCCTATTGCCGTGGCAGTTGGGACACCCCGACCTGACCGTTTAGCCTAAAAGGAAGAACCTAAGCCAATCTTAGGATGTGGGGTTAAATGAATCTGATAAAAATTACAAAACAAAAAGGGACGAAAGCCTCCTTATACTAGGGCTTGATCCGGAATTAGCGGCAGCGTTTCTGGGAATTAGGGAAATGTGTGAAATGATGTTGGTTCGGTTCCATCGTCTACTGTCAAAGAATCGAAAATAAATTATACTTCTAGAACTCAAACTTTTAGGGCATGGTTGGCAAGTGAGTTTAGGGGGTTTTGAATCCTAAGTTGAGGATTAAACCCCTTTAAATCTATGTTTGACAACTATGCATTTAGTTCAAGGTTTGAAATCTGTCCCAGTCATGAAAATCACATACTTAGGTTTCATGAAACCCGGAGAGTTTCATATGTGAGTTAATGAGTTTAACATACAAATGATAATTATACCCTCATATATACAAATTGATTAAATGGTACAATAGTCATTTATATACAAATTGCATGAGATAATACCTGCAATAGTATGAGACAGCGATCTCCAAGCTGGCGAACCTGAAACAAGGGACAAAAAAAAGGGGGTTAGGCGAGTGCCCGGCTAATTCCTTTCGAAACTTAAGTCAATATAAGATCGAATGGTTTTGCTCAATAGACTATTTTTCTAGTTCAAGTTTGCATACTTTTGTGAGAAATATTTATACCTAAATTAGCAATAATTGTCAAAAATCTCAAGTCTCATATAGACATCTTACATCTAACATCATTGCTCGTACAATGAGTGTTTTTTACTCACATCCCTTCCTATTGAATGCTAGGAAAATGGGACAAATACTCGGTCAAATGCCAAGCATTTATGCCCCCCCGAGTACCAAAATCCCCCATATCGGCATCCGACATCGACTGAACATTGAATACTCGGGGGAGAACAGTTCCTCGGGAGAGCCGATCACGTCGTCTCGACGCATCAGCCATTAATGCCTAGCCATCATGACAATAGGCTTAGACTCTCAGAAGACAGGTGCTGGCAAACGCGCATTTATTTGTCTTATCACTATCATTCATTTCGCCATAAATGTAAGGTTATATCGCATTAAATATGATGTCAGCTGTAATACTCGGCGGCCCCGGGTCATCACACCTAGGCTTACCTCCTCGGCATCCTTTGGACATCCCAACGGCTTCATTATTTCACGTGTCAACCCAAGGGCTACAGAGCCACCTAAAGTCCCGCCACAAATATATTATCATGATAGTCATATATCCCTACACATACCAAACATAGACATGGACAATATTGAATGTTGAATCCCATCTTTAAATTCTATTTTTGAGTCAAACCCAAGTTTGACCAAGTTAATTTAAACCCCTCCCAACAAACATATCAGACCCTTAAGGTTAAATGTCTCTTCTCTCATCGATCAGTTACAATATAAACTGCATTAGCACTTTAATTTCAATACGAACGAATGTTAATAGAATAATTAAAATTTTATTGTCATGAACTTTGTTGGAGTCTTACTCAAATAGTTGGAGCCCTTTATAATAAAGTAACAGATTGATGGTTCCAGTCCAACTTTCTCTCTCTTGTCCATTAGCGCTTTAGTTTTTAATAAGGACAAATGTTTAGGCTTTTGCTAATAAAATAGTTTTTTTAACCCGTGATACGTAGATGGTTTGGATAATTTTAGGACCATTGGTTGGAAATTTAATAAAGTAATAAAAAGAACAAAAATTAAAAAAAAAAATTACAGTGTCAAGTTTTTATTAGATAAAAAATGAAGGTAAGTATGTTTAGATATACCATAATCTAGATCCAACAGTTATTTATAAATGATGTGTATCGACTTGATCCAACTTCAACTTCAAATTTCGAGATAATAATTCTTAAAAGCTTGTCATCCAAATCATCTCGGGTTTTTAGTGTTGCATGCCCTTTTGAGTAAAGATTTGTTCAAGATCAAGGTATCTCTCACTTTATTTAGTTTCTGAATCGGAGAGAAAACTACAATTATAGCCGATAATCGAGTCAAACTTTGTAAGATTGAGTCAAAATTGTCAAACTCATTTTTTTAAATTTGACTCGTTTAGAAAATGAACCGAGTTGAACTCGAATAGTTCGACTATTTTATATATTGAGCCTCAATAGCTCGATTCAATTATCAACTTTAACTACAATTAGGGTACCTGAAAACAAATTTTGGTATCATACAAATTACAATTTTTTGAAATGTAATTTGTAACTTATGTGTTTGCTTGAGAATTCGATCTCAAACAAACCCGAAAGTTGCAAATGACTTCTAAAATTTGTAAATGATTATCAAAATTTGAAAAAAAAAAAATACCAAAAATTATGAATGACTCCCAAAACTTACCAAAAAAAAAAAAAAATCCACAAAACTTATAAATAGGGATACAATACAGATTTTTTTTTTGTTGATATGGTAGACTTCTTCCTGAATCGGAACCAAAGTTGTATAGTCCAGATTAGAGGCCCAGCTTTACATTTGAAATGTGGTCCAACTGTAAGGGACCCCACCCCGAGCGATCTAGAGCCCATGATTACGCGGTGTTAATCATTCTTTCATGTTGTGATGAATCGAAAAGATCAACTCTTCCCTGATTTGGCGGGAGAAATTTCAAATGGGCAAAAGAGAATACGACATGATAAAGCTACCCCAGTGCTGATTCCTTTTTCTTTGTACATTTTGCAGAATTTCTAGTGCCAAAGGAGCCTTTTTTTTTTTTTTTTTTGTGTTTAACGATTAAAAGTGTCTAAACTAGTTTAATCTCTTATCTAGTTAAGTCAAAATTAGAATTTTTATGCCAAAATTAAGATATTCACGAAAAATAAATCTCACTTGGGCTTACCCAAAAAAATTGTCAAAATTTGAATTCATAACGTCTGAATTTATAGTTCGTTCCTATTACTACCTAAGTTACCTTTTTTTTTTTTATCTTTATTATTATTGGTATAAAAGTAGGGATGTAACTAGAAAGATTATATGAGTTGAAAGACGACTTTAACCAAAGACATAAAGTTTTGAGTCTGAATTATGTCCAAACTCCGATTGACTTTAACTTCATATTCAAATATCGTACTCACAATTTGTTGCAGTTTATTATGTAATGAAGAATATATTTCATGAACCATTTATACTCAAGTCATTAATTGATAGAAAATGTTATGCATACCTAAAGTTTTATCAAAAAAATATTTTTATCAAATGAGTTGACAGCTCTATATCACTCTTAAACCTATCAAATATTGATTAAAGTATTTTTTACTGATTATAAAGTTGTCAACTCATTTAGTAAAAACATTTTTTGTTAAATGTTTTAGTATAACATTACTTTTACTTGATACGATCCTCTTCATCTTTTTCTCTTGTAAATGAGTAAACAAATAAAAGGGTGAACAACATTTCATGATCCCCATGACATAGAAGATTGGGACATCCACTTGCTCATTGACTAGAGCAGATGATGCTTTTTGGATTGTCTCCTCGTTGGTTTCTTTGCACCATGTGGGGTTTGATTTTTGAGTTTTAATTTTCAGATTGAGATTAAAGTTTAAATTACATAATTCGAGCTAAAACGTGATTTCAATTCGAATATTTTTTCCGAAATCTTAGTCTCAACCTCGAATGTTATCTGAATTTGAGTTAGAGTGGATTTTGTTTTCTCAATACCCATGTGGGTGTTGAAATTTTTTTATACAGGTGGTAAAAAAATTTCAGATTAGACTTGGATTAGATTCATATTAGTTCATGTGAGCTGTAACTCACAACAAACTATTTTTGTCTGCTTCTTGACTATTTTAGACTTACTACCATGGTTCCCATTAGAGCCCCTCTGTATGATAAATACCCCAAATTTCCATCCAAGCCAGCCTTCTTTTCATTGCATACATTTTCTTGATTTTCTTCTATATATATATATTATTCTTCACTAGTTTTCACCATTGTAGATACAATTAGACACATTTTATCTTCCTCCTCCTGTCATTTCTTTTCCATATTCACTTCACTACTACTGTATATATGCTCAGAGAGAGAGAGAGAGAATCAAGATTCTTCTTTCTTTATGGAGGATTTTAGAAAGATTGATCACTAATTCAATCAACACTTGTACGTGTCTCGTCTGTCTTCACCTCTATATCGTTTGATCTTTTCTGCAATTTTTGTTCTCCGCATTATCTACATGCATTGTGTATGTATATATATGGAAATATGCTTGCTTATGTTATTCTATGAATATGAATTGCCTTTCAAAGGTTATACCACTGTGAAAAAATGAACGAAATTGAAGAACATCATATTGAAAACATTGCAGGTACTTTGTTAGATAGAAGAGAGTAGAAGAGCTCAAGCTGGTATTTCATTTGTGGAGAGAAGAAGAAGAAGAAGAAGAAGAAGAAGAAGGAAATGGACGGTGTGGAGAGGAGGCGGCAACGGTGGAGGCAACTGAAACAACGGCTGGGATTTAAAGGGATGGGCTGTTGTGGGTCCTCTTGGGGTCTCAGAGTCTCCGACATGGCTACCAGAGAAGAAGAAGAACAAGAAGAGCTAACCCACCAAGAATATTATCAAGAACAACCAATCAGACGCCATGTGGGTCAGATTCAGGCGAATTCTAACACCCAGCCACCTTGTGTTGGTCAGATTCAGGCGAATTTCAACGTATATCCACCTTGGGTGGCTCAGATTCCGGCGAATTCTGTCGTATATTCACCTTGGTTGGCTCAGACTCCGGCGAATTCAGACGTATATCCACCGCGTGTGGGTCAGATACCAGGAAATTCCGGAGTGAACTTAGCGACGGCGCTGGCGGCGGAGCGCCACATGCGGGAGGTGGGTCCGACGACAGGAGCGCCTTTGAAGTCGTTGATGAGGATGTTTGAAGAAACGGACGGTGTGGATTTTAAGAAGAGGAAAAAGAGAGAGAATGCGGGGGAGATTGATTCACTGTGCTGCGTGTGCATGGAAAGGAATAAGGGTGCGGCTTTTATACCCTGTGGGCACACATACTGTAGGGTGTGTTCTGGTGAGCTGTGGTTGAATCGAGGGTCGTGTCCTCTCTGCAACCGTAAGATTAATCAGATCCTTGATATCTTCTAGATGGAGAAGTATTCATTCATTAATTGATGAATTGAGTTTGGCCTATGTTTTTTTTTTTTTGATCAAATAGTTTGGCCTATGTCAGATCAGCTCAGATCAAAAAAAAGAGTATAGTCTTACTTTTATGTGGGCTGTGGGGCCAGAGAATGAGTAGGAGTGGACCCCACTAAGTGGTGTCTAGTGAGAATGTGACGGTCGTGCTTAAATTTGAATAGAGTTTGCTATAAAAATAAAAAATTAACAGTGTATGGTTGGAGAATAGATCAAATATTATAGTTTTTTATCATGGTTTAGTGGGTGACAATTCAATTTTTTTCACTCCAAGTTTGTGGTCAAGTCTCCATAGTTATAGTAGTTGTTTGAAATTAAACCTATTCTTCAACACTCAGAACATATAGTGTGACTTTAATTTTAGTTCCGTCGTAAGTGAGATGAAATTCCTTACAAATTGATGTACAATGTTAAGAGACGATGATTTTTGATGAATATGTGGAATGACTTATATGTATATCTATTTTTAAGATCAAAAAATAAAAAAAAAACATCATTGTAGTCTTTTACCTCCAAATTTATCAACATAAAATTTATTAAATCAAACTTGAAATTTGAATAAAATTATATTGAATCGAGTTCAACGTATAAAAAATCATACTCATAGACATGCTTTGGATCAATGAGTTGTCTAATGTTCCGTTTAGGACAAAGAAAAGTTTGAAGAATGAAAAGTTAAAAGGATAAATAAAACATCATATTTGGTAAGGAAGGAAAGTAGGAAGGATGGAAAAGTTGATGAATTAACTTTCCTTCCAACTCACCAAAATCAATCCTCCAAAATCAGAAGGAAAGTGGATGAAAAATTAATTATTTGTATTGAGATGTATCTTATTAGTCTATATATCTTTTTATGTATATTATATATAATAATTTCATATAAAAATACAATGTTAAAATATGTATATGTATATATATATATATTAAAAAATTTTAATTTTAAAAATAAAATTTAAAAAAATATTTTTTCCATCTTAACTATGGGTGAAAATTTTCGACTTAACACAATGACACGATTCGAACTCGATACGAAAATAAACAGATCAACTCCCAACTCAACACGACACAATTAGTTAAATGAATTAAGTTATGTTGGACTAATATTTGACTTAAACCCGTAATGACTCAACACAAATCTAATACGACACGACTTGATTGTCGCCCCTAATCTTAGCCAATACCCGGGGAAAAAAAATAGTCATATTTATTTTTTATCCATCCAACCAAACACGAATAAAAGAAAGTGTATCCTTCCTACTTTCTATCTTTGAAAGATAGAAAGTGTATCCCTCCTACTTTCTATCTTTGAAAGATAGAAAGTGTATCCCTCCTACTTTCTATCCTTCCAATTTTTTATCCTCCCTACCAAACGGAACAAGGGTTAATGAAGTTTCAACCAAAAATTTGGGTTCGCTCTATTACCTGATTGTAGATCATTTATCATAAACTGAACTGACTCGTGAGTATTTTAAGTTTGTCCGGCATCAATACGCCACCAATTTTTTAGAAATTGGAAAAAGAAAAAAAGAAATGAAAAGGATTCTACTCTGCTTATCCAAACATAGACCTTAAAGACCGTTTCCTTATGCAAATTTTCATCGTACATTGAATTCTTGAATCCATCCCATGTCTCCAAAATGTGACTCACGAGTCACGACACTAATTATATCATATGTTCGCAGAATCTTTCATTATTCCCAGGGTTGGAGTGTTAGAAGGGTTACTACCCAGGTTTTATGAGGCCTATGCAACCAAACTCATTGGTGTTTTTACTGAAATGAATGGGCCGTTCCAGGGAATCCTCTAAAAGGCTTGAGCCCATAAAATTAGGGCTTGTAAAAACAAGTGATAATTGGGAGTCCATCATTTAACCTTATAATGACTTCAATTCATTCCTTAAACATTAAATTCTATTATTATCTGTTTTATTAAGTAGTTCAGGATAATTTTTTTTTACCAAAATGCCCTTATTTTTACTTTCCAGAGTAAATTTCTAAACCGGAAAACCAATTACGCCTTTATTCATGTTCAATACAGATCTATCAATAAGATTTTTTTTCATAAAATTTAAAATTCAAATTCAGGTAATTGTTATCCATCTTCTTCTTCTTACCAATAGATTCAGATCCTCATTATTCACCTTCTCCATTATTACAGGAACGCTTCCTCTGCACCAAATTTTTCAAAACCACCGTCGTGAAAACCTATAACCTAACTTGGATGGGTTATAATTCCGGCGTCATATCCACGGATATGGCCACGTGAGTTTTACGTAGCTGTAGAAAAGTTCAATATGCTCTCGTGGTTATCACTGAGAATATTCCTCTGAATTGGTACTCTGGCGATAACCGTACAATGCATGTAACCAACTGTATTTTTCCGTGCTGGTTGCTTCGCCGCAATAATCACCAATGACGGGTCGCCGTCGAAGTTGCCAAGATGGAACTAATCTGACAAAAAAAATTGGACCAAAATTGTGGCCATGTGATGTGAAACTCGTCAACCACCAATAAATAAGGGGACCCATAATTCTTCATTGGACATTCGAATTTTAACGCATCATCGTGAGTTTAATGGCTATGCATCATATTACTCAGACGCATCCATGTCAAAGTTTATTATTTCTGATAGTGTATGTTGCACAATTGAACATGGTTATGATTTTTGGGAAATCACTGGATAGCCCAACTAGAACTCCTAGACTCTTTAAAATTGAACAAGTGTGATGGGAGATTATAAATAGGGAGTTTATAGTTGTTTATTAGTTTAGAAACTCGACTAATCAACTCTCTAGAGAATCTCTTATTCTTGTAGTTCCTCTTTCATTGTGAGGGATATGCCTCTCATTTATAATTTTTCAGGGCCTTGTCCGATGACCTAGCATGATCTCTGGCTTCTCCTTTTAACAGATACGTCTATTATGCGATTACCGTAGATAGCGTTGAGGCGATTGCGACTTTCTTACTTAAACATAAGACCGCTATGGCTTATGCATGGCATTTCGGTGAAAGTAAGTTGTCATCCTTACTATTCTCGTGAGGACATTAATGCTCTTGAAGAAAAACTGACTTGAACATCCCTAGTAGATCGTCTTGAACTGTGTAATTTGAACTTGGAGAGTCCGAACTAAAAGCCCGAACACAACCTTAGCCGTATTCTAAGTATCATCAATTTTGAACTCCATTTAAAAGTGCGATCCATTTTTGAACACAAGGGAACTTAATTGAAGATTAAATTCCTAATCCCACAAATTTTTAAAATGGCTAACATGTTTAATTCGGTCGAGTTTAATCCATAAAAAATATATTTTTTTTCCAATCTAAGTATGGCAACCAACTGCAGCTTGACAGCTATGCTTGCAGTGTATAAGTGACCATTTTTTTTTTCGGTAATGATACACTGACCAAATTTTGGGACCAAATTAAGAGCCCAAATGACATGACAGCTGACTTGGTATTCTTTATGTGGTGCCATGTCATTTGAGCCCTAATAAAAACTTCAAATAATCAGGTGTCATGTCATTTGGGCTCTTGATTTGGTCCCTAAATTTGGTCCCTAAATTTGGTCAGCGTAACATTATTTTTTTTTTTTTTGGTTAATGTTTAAGGGTGTTTGGACCAACTTACGTGTATATCGACTAATCTTTTTTCCGATCCAATCAAAGACAAGTCATTTACGTCGGAATTAGGGTATTCGTGAGAAATAAATTCATCATAACCTGATTTCAAGAGATTATCAAGATCTGAACTCAAGATGTCTAGAATTACAATTTATCTCTATTACCAATTGAACTATCTTTGAATTTTTAAATGACTTGCATTGAACTTACAAGTGAAATTAAGTTTCTTTTTTCTTGGAGCAACGAAAATCTCATTTTGCTCGGTGAAAAATACAAAAATTTCATTTTACTCCCGAATGGTTAATATTCTCACGTTACACCCTCAAAGAAATAAAAATATTATAATGTGGTTCATTATTTTATTTCTATTTTTTTTTCATCTGTTTTGTATCAAATCAACTAATCAAAAATTACAAAACAAACGAAAATAAGACAGTGCATCACGTTGTAATATTTTTATTTCTTTAAAAGGATAATGTGATAATATTAATCATTTAGAGGATAAATTAAAATTTTTGTATCTTTCGAGGGGAGAATTTACCCCTCCTTTTAATACAATTTGGTCTTGTATAGGAATGGACTTCCCTCAATAACCATTTTTATACAGTTGCGTGGGTACATTTCCTGCTGAAGTTTATTACTCCTAGAATTAAAATCTCTATGGTATGGCGTGAAGGTTTTTGAAACATCTTATCCAAGGAATTGGGGTATGAATGAGTGGATTCATATTGGGGTATGAATGAGTCGATTCATATTGGATATTAGTTTATTAAAACTTGATTTTGAAGTTTGAACGATTTTTAAATAAAGTTCAAACTCTATTGAATTATCATACGAAACGATCCGATTTCTAAAAAAGTTTTCTTAATCCTATGATTGACGATAAAGGTACGAAATAAAAGATATCGGATGAAGTTCTAGACGAACGATGAGAGAAGAATGAGGAGACACGTACCGATTTCCTTTGTGCACGTTTGTGTGAAACAAGTGCGGGTTTAATCAATTTCTATGGTAGAATATATTAACTTTCTAATTAATAGATTTGTGTTGTATTACAATATTACTCCCTCCATTTAGTATTAACACTTGTACAATAATTCGAATAAAAACAACTACATAACACAATCGCACGTAATATGAATACTATATAATAATCACGTATACAATACAAAGTGGCTTTTGATGTCAAATTAAATGTACTTGCGTCTAAAAGTAGTTCTAAATTGACAACCAAACAAATCTAAATTTATATAATAAAATAAAATACAATTTAAATTATAAAATAACTTTTATTTTTCGAGATTTAGATCTCTTTAAATTTTATTTTAAAGTTAAT